TTTCTAAAAAGCATGTTGGTTCAAAGCTGACCATTGTTAGTATTGATGTTCTGTTGCCTTGTACCATTCTCTCTGTAGGATCTGTTTAATCAGTACGTTACTGGATGAAGCAGAATTCCCAATCAACAGGAGTCTAATGTGTTAGCACCAGGTCTCAGCTGAAGCATTTTAGCTGAAGTGCCTCATCTTAATTCCACAGAATTATTGTCCCCCATTACACACCGGTCGTTACCATTAAGCATCATTGGGCTTCAATCAAGTTCTCCAGGAGAAGTCCTCATTAAACGGAGGGCATCATATTTGTTTTATTCTGTTCCTGAGAGAATCGCTCCCTGAGACTACAGCAGTGACAGCAATGACAGTACCTATGTAAACTCAGCTTTGCAGCTCAGCTGAACTCAAACAGTCAGCACTATAGCTTGAATAGGTGATCTTAACATGCTTTTTGTTTCAGTTTTCCACTGATAACCTTTTGTCAGAAGTATTTTAATTGATAAATAACCAATATTTGCTTCAGTTAAATTCACAAGGATCTGTTACTCCATCTGCATCCCCGTGTTACCTGGGCAGCCAGCAAGTAACCATGAAAACATCCATTAGTTCTAGAAAGATTCCCTCGCCCTGCTTTAGCCACTGCAGTAGTGAGTGATTCACAAAATCATGTTACCAGTGGGGAGAAAACCCACTAAAATCACGATCACTCATCCTTTAACTTCTGAGCTTTAACAGTTTTTCAACAGTAGAAAACCTCTGTATTTGATTTAAAAAATGAAACTTAAGAGATTTTCATTGCATCTTTGAAGCTCTACTTAATATCAAAGCAAATTTCAGCTAGTGAATGTGATCACAAAGCAGCTGGTGTTGCTCTCCAAACTAAAGAATTATACTGAAAAAACACCTCTTCAGGCATCTGGAGCTGTATTAAATTTACAATGCAGTGTTAATGTAACCTTTCCATCCCTTCTCCTCCTCACCCTCCTTGTTTTAAATGAATGTGATATAAGTGAAATTTAACATTTAATTTAGTTCAATACATCATAGCTCTACTATAAAATATCTAAATCTTATAACCTATCTAGAAGCAAGGCTGAGGCCAGGCTCAGAGACTGAAGCCCAGTGCCCTGGAACGCTGGTGATCAGCCAAGCCAAGCCCAAACTGTGTCACTTCACACCCATCTCTAATCAGAAGCATTAACTTGATGCTTTTCCAGACATGAGTAACCATTCTTCCGTGCTGGAAGAACTCAGTAAGATGCATTGTACAGCACTATTTCCATGTCTCTTATTTATATTTGTGTCTCAACAACAAAGCCTGAGTTTTGGGCTTTCATTCAATCTCCACTGAAGAGCAAAAATGGTTTCTGACGGGACCCTTTCAGTTCCAGGTTTCAGTAGCAATTTAACCGAGAACTCTCATATAAGGATTCTCTCTTCTGCTTTTTTAATAACCATAAAAAAAAGAATATCTTAATGTCTCGTGGAGATCTGACAGGTTGAAAATGAATATATTTCTGCAGAAAAACATAGGTAAAATGGAAAGATTCTCAACCAAGCATTGCTGCAGAAGTCTGTTTGCATAAGGAAAGTTAAATGTGTGGAAATGTTTGAGAAAGGAGGGCCTTAATAACGACAGCTGTACAAATAATTTATTGGGGAAAAAACAATAAAGGTTTTAGATGTAGCTCAAGAATAAAACATAGCGAATTAAATCATAAAATGAATAAAGTACCCTACAGCACTGTGCCTTTTGACCCTGCTTTTACTGTGCTCACACATGTTCCTGTGCTGGGAGGACGAACAACTGACTGTCCTTTCAATCCTGATAAACAATTCTGCACGTTAATTACTTTGCCTGATGTAAATCTTAACAGCTAAAATGAAAATGAACATGTTCACAGTGTGCAAGCACAACACTGATAGTCGAAGTAATCCAGGTTTTTTCTCCCTACTTCTGACTTCAAGGGGACAGACCGTGCTCAGCGAGCAGCAAGCAAAACCCTTTGACCCCAAAAAACCAACCCCCAAAACTAACCACAACATAAAATACCCTAAAAAATCAACCAGAAAAAGAGGATGCAGAGGACAAAGACAGTGGAGCATTCAAGAACACTCTCAACTTCCGTTACATCCCGGGAAGTCATGCTTCTATCCTTAGAAACAAGGAGGCAGGCAGAAAACAAGCTGTCTTTGCTTATTGTCTTTCCAGCTCATCATGGCTAATTTCCCTTGGAACACTGAGCTTTTTTACTCCCAATGTGTAAAATTCTAGCAGCTGAAGTACGTTTTGGATCTTTTTTTGTCTGTACTGACCTCTGTAGCCCTGAACAAAGCTCACCAACCGACGTGTCCCGTCTGGAACAAGCCTGAAGGAAGATCCCTTCACTCACAACCTCAAATGTTTTGCAATTTGTCTCAAAGGGTTCATTTCATTTTTGTAATGCTGAAAAAAAAAGGTCTTGTCAACATTTTTGGGGTTGAGAAAAAGCAAGCTGAAGCTAGTGGGTTTGCCTGATCTTGATTAGCTTGGAGGTTTGAACTTAAATCTCACAATGAAGCTCAAAGGGGATGAAAGTGCAGGAAGAGTTTAAGCAAGTCCTGCAAAACACAACCAGAGTTTCACTTGGCTCTGTTTTTCTAGCTTGGCATGATGTGAGGCAGAAAACCCAAATGAAGAGTCCAACCCAGCTCATGTTCTACTCCAGCACACTGCTGCTTTTGGTACAGAGATCAGAAGCTAAGCTGTACTGTCCCACATCTAGCCAGGTGGACGGGCTGCAGGCATTCCATCAGAGGCCATGGGGGTGCTGCAGGACTCATTTCAGTTTCCCTGTTCAGTGTTTCACTGGAAGTACGAGCTATTTAGGCTCTGTAACATCACCATTCAGGGTGGGGAGATAAAGAGGTGAAACAAAGAATAAGGCTGATAATAGAGAAAGATCTCAGCCAAAAAACTGAGTTCCAAAATCCTGCAGTTCAGCACCTGATTGAAATCTCAGGGTTTAGTTCACTCACCGCAGCTAGCACAAGACTGAAACCAGATCTGAACTGCTGCAGCATTCAGGTGTGTTTGGATCCAGAAGTTCTATTTTGGCTCCTACAAGGAGTATTCTTTGTAATGAGGCAGTGCCTGGAATCCCCGGGTGCTAATCAGGATACCCTTGTGCAAGATTCTTTACCAGCTCCTAACAAAACAAAGCGGGAGGCTCCGTATTTATGTTTCATCACATTCCACAATCAGCTATTTGAGCTGGCTCTCCAACCTAACAAGATCTGTTTATGTGCTATAAATCCAGTTTTCCTTCACTCTCAGGTTTTTTGGCATTCTTGGCAGATGATAACTAATTGCTGGGGTTTTCTTTGTGGAAATTGCCACTTGAAAAAACAATAAAATCAGTATAAATTCCCTACCAATGAGCACCTCTTTTTTCTCACGTCTTATCTCCAAAAACACAGAATGAAGAAGTCACTGTGGTCTCAGGAATTTTTCTTTCTATTTATTTGTGCTCAAACAAAAAAAATAACAACTTTTCTATTCTTTGCCTACATTTCTTTAACATTTTGGAGCTTTCAGAAGCTTCCATTTGCAGTCGCTCTTAAAACCTAAACTCTCTATTTGGGGTTTTTTTTATTAATACCTCCTGTGGATTTTTCATTGCTAGTAAAAGTTAAAAAACTGAAACCACTTGTCTGTGAAAACATGTTTTGGTGGAAAGTTTTAAACAACTCCTGTGGAGTTCTAACTTTGTTTATAAATGAGGAAACTGATGCAAGTGGCCAAGCAATGAAACGCGAATCGCCACACCTAAGGATAGCACCTTCCCACTATAAGTCTTGTGGGTCACGAGGAAAACCACACACTCCTCAGGGAGCTAAAATCCTCTTTGTACCAGGGATGTGGCACAAGGAAGGTATAATAATGAGGAGAAGAAGCAGGAACAGCATTTACAAGGATAGTCTTGATTTCATCAGTAGGTTACAGGGGGTCTGGCTGGCCAAGCACGCATGCACTCCCTCAGACATTCTCCTGAATCAAGAGCACAGTGCTTCACCAAGGTGAGCATCCCCGTTTGGAGAGGTGGAAACAAACACTGGATTAGTGGTGCAGCCCAAGCCTCTGACTTGCAACCCTCTGTTCCTTTCACCAGACCACGCTGCCTCACGCTCAACTGCAGGAGAGCCCGTTCCAGCAGCACTTCCCCACCACGCTCTCTGCCATGCCTCCTTTCCCACCGCATGGAGACACAACAGTGCATCCCTGATGTAAACCCTGAGCACCCCATTCACGGTTCTGAGCGGGCCAAGTTACAGTTAAAACATTTATTGTAAATAGTTGCTTAAAAGGTTGGGTATGAAAGATGGGAGACTGTGCCTGCCTTTCTCCTCACCACTGACACACTTCACCTCCTTCTGTGTTTTTATTAGCTAGTGTTCACAATACATCAGCGACAGCTATGATGAAACCAGTGGCAGATTTTGCTGCAAAGCAGCTGGGTCATCCTCCCATGGGTCTTGTTGCTTTGCTGTGTGATATCTTAAAGTGACCATTGCTATTTTGGCTTCTTGTTTTAAAAAAGAAGCTATAAGGGAGGGCATGAGAGTGTTAAAAGGCAAAAAAGATGGAAAGAGAGAGGGAGTGGAGGGAAATGAGGAGCCTGCTTGTGTACCACGTACAGAGCTACTTGGAAAATTCTGAGGCATCTAAGTATCACAAACATGATCCCTGCTGTGGGCAGCTGTATGTGCGAGTGCTTTGCCCGAGGGTGTCAAATCAAATATCCACTGCTGGTTGGTGCAGTACATCACTTCCCCTTGAGGATTCAGAGTGGAAAAAGAGGAAAAAAGGGGAAAAAAAAGGTTTAAACACAACAAATGGAGAAAAACTTTAACAATAACTGATACGGCTTATCATATAGTGTCATCATATTTATGTATAGAGGAGAGAGGAGAGGGAAAAGAAGGAAAAAAGCAGACAGGTTAATGCTGAGCCTCATAAGACTTACCTGGAACCGTCTCATGTCTCTTGGGTTTCCTGCTGTTTTCAAGCAATTCTGATTGCACTTGAGAAAAAATTTTAGGAAGAACCTGGAAAGATAAAGAACCACGTCACTGCTGTTAACCCTCACAAAACACCTCTTGTTGGATTTTGGTTTAAAATATACATGGTAGTGATTTACATGGTGGTGTAGCCATAGACCAGGAACTCAGCAAAAGAGAAATAAACCAAACACATGCAAATCCTAACGAAGAGAAGTTAAAATAAATGAGGTGAAGTACAACCAATGGGACTGTAATCCACTCTGAGCTGGGCTGCTAGCCCGTGTAAGTCACCAGATCTACTCCGATTTCTGCCCGCTGCCTCACTGCATGTTCGACCACACAGTTGCAGTCTCTTTCTTTATCTCTCCCTCACATACAAGGTCTTTCTTTTGCTGTCTGAAGGGATTTTCCATGAAACAATATAGAAGGATAATGTCATTGTAAAAATTACAAAAAGCAACAGGGTGACTCCGGAGCAGATAAGCTTTGAAACTACTGAGAACGTATTCAAACCCAGAAACAAACAGCTCCCAGAAGCAGCCGAGGAGATTTCATCATGATGATGGTTTTACTTATTAAGATTTCACAAACTAAAGCAGAGAAGCAGAACTGCCAAGAGTCCAGATTATAATCTTAGATAGATTTGGAGAGAGGATAACAAACACAACCTGAAGGAATATGTGACAGCTCATGCTGTCCAAGCAGATAAACCCATTAACATCATACAAAGTTCTCATGCCAATTATTTTTGCCCTGTCACACATGCCTATCTTTATGTGTTATTATTCGGTCGAGTTTAGCTTGTCATGTACACAAGTTGAACCTTCAGACCGCTGGGTTGGCTTCCCCAACACCTCGCACTAGGTCTTAGAGCTTAGAAATATTAGGCAGGCATTTTTCTGTATGGTTTCCATGAAATGGTTGTCAGATCCAGAGCAGACATCCCTTTGTTATCTGATTCATCCCATTACATTTAGGAAATTCAGAAGTAAAGAAATTACACAAAAAATCAGACTTGTTGGCTTAAAAGCAGAACAAGCACGTCTTGAAAATTCAGACCTAGCAGGCAAGGATTTTTTTTGGCATCCTCTATCACAAGTGAAAAGATTCGCTGTGATTCTTTTCAGTTCCATTTGTTGGACAAAAATGAATTTCACTGCAATAATTAAAGAAATCAAAAAATCAAAGACTTTGAGATAGATTTAGAAGGAAAAAAGACTTGGCTGGCAGAAAAAAGAAAGAGTTGAAGGATTGATTTGGAATACAAAGAGCCATTTATTTATTTATTTCGCTTTGCTGAGTGCTTTCCTTACAAAAAAAAGCCGCTTTTGCAGTAAGTTAAAGTCCCAGGTGAGCCAGGCCTATTTCCCTTTCTGTTACTATGACAACGATTTTTTACCGCAGTCCCTAAGTCCCTTCAGAACTCACACATTCATGCCTTGAATTAGAACTTTAAAGGAGAAAGATGTATATTTCCTGGCTTTACCACCACCACCCACCCAAAGAGTCCTCGCACAAGACAATAAAGCAGGAAGCCGCTCGCCCTTGTTACTGCTGCGTGCTCTGCACCACTTCCATCGCGGCATTTCTCTTCCATCTGCCCCAAACATACAAAGAAATATCGAAGGATCTGATCCGTTTATATGGTGCTTGAACAAACAAAACCCTTCAGAAACCTCATGACAATTGAACCCACAGAAAAGAGCCAGATAACGTCATGTAAAATGACTGTCACAAAATGCAGCCTTCCAGTGAGCTTTGTAAATTAAAAGCACAGAATCCCAAACTGGTTTGGGTTGGGAGGGACCTTAAAGCTCCTCCAGTTCCAACCCCCTGCCATGGGCAGGGACACCTTCCACTAGAGCAGGTTGCTCAAATGTTCCTTTTGGCCTGAAATCTCTCACAAATATTTTTTAAATAGCTGAAATATTTCTTTTTCTCTGTTCATTTTGGAGACTGGATTTTATTTCCATCATTCCTTCTCATTTATGACTTAGAGAAACCCTGGTCCTTCCCGTGGCACAGATGACATAACTGCCACAGTCCCTCACCACGCTGAGGTTCAGCAGCAGAGATGCGTCCATGCTCAGCTGTCAGGGGGCAACGTCTCCCAGCAGAGCCCTGGTCACCTCCGTGCCTTCTCAACTAAAAACCCTACAGAACTTCATGTCTGAGGAGCAGCACTGAGTGAATATATTCTATCAGAGTTACTGATTCCTCGTGCTAAAATCTGTGACCTCTTTCATTTGGGTGATTTGGAAGCAAGATTTTATCTGTCAGAATGTTTGCAGAAGGAAAAACACTCTGTGTGCTGGTGCGAAGATTCACAGGAGAATTCGAGTCAAAAACGTTACTCACAAACACTCCTTTTTATCCTGCCCTCTTCTTACAGATATAAAAATCATTATTTGCAGATACACAAACAGCTTCTGTTACTGAGATCTGCCTATGGAAGGAAAAACTGCAGAATGGAACCAAACTAGATAATGAAACCAAGGCAAGTAACTTCTACATGAAAATCAATGCGCTGCTGGGTAACTGATTATACTGGAGGGTAACTGCAAACTAAAATCCACAAAAGTTGTTACTTTGGAGGCAAAATAAATCAAACATAACCAAATTAATCAGGAAAATGTGCAGTTTCCTTTTTAAATGTTTTAAATGCTTGCATCCCTATTCATCTAGAGGAGAAAACTGATCAACATCAACTAAAGGACAAAGAAAATCAGAGCAAAGAAGAGTCTGTAAGAGAACTCGCTGTGTCAGCTGGGCTGGCTTTGGGAAGAGCTATAGGATACTGCAGCACCTGGGTCACACCAACCCCTAAAATGCAGCCACAGAAAGGTAAAAATTCCAAATGTGTAACAGCACCCACGACTGAACTCTGCAACACCGTGTGGCAATGAACTACGTTCATGTTTTCTCCTCAGTGTCTCTGGGCTCAGATTCCCAGCAAACAGAAATCAGTAGCATATGTGAAAATTAACTTGGATTTCAATTAAATCTGTGCTGATTCACACCAACGGGTGCACTGTCCCTTCAAGCCACACAGAAACCCAAACTCTCCTCCTTTCCGAGCTGTCTGCCTCCCACAAGAGCCTGAGCATCCTCACCACTGCTTCGCAACAAGCAGCCTCCACGCACGGGAATGTGCGGAGCTTTGGGGTCTTTTCCCAGGATATTTAACCAAGAGGAATTTTGGGAGACCCACGGGAGACAGCTTGAAGGAGCCTGACCTTCTGGAATTGCTGAGCACCTCAGCTGCTGAAAGTGGTGCACCTTTAAGATAGCACAAAATGGGCATCAGGAATTCCTCGCCTCTTTTGGAAGTGCTGGCTTTGGTTTTTAGTGCTTGAGCAGTATTCCCACATATTGCCTGTGCCGAGAGGTCTGCAGTTTCTTTGAAGCTCACTGGCTGTGCTGCACTAAGACAGTTTTTGCTCCCATCACCCCAGATTTAGATTCAGTTCTATTTAGATGCACACACAAGAAACTGCATCTCTCTTTTTCTCCTCTTTCAGAGTTTCTCCAGTCAAATTTTATCCACAACTGGGCCTCTACATGAAGTATTTGGTAGATCGATATATATATATATATATTTTAAGTGGTTGCATCTGGGAAATGCATTAATATTGAAGCATTAGAATAAAAATGACTTGGGGGGAGCAAAGAGGAGGGCAAGTTTAGCGCTAAATGAAGCTGGTTTAGGGGTAACAGGAGAATTGCAGAAAAGCTTTATTAATTTGTTTAAATGAGAACCTTTAAGTTTTGGCTTTATCCTCCACACGCATCAAAAAATAAAAAGCAATTTAAAGAATTAGCTCCTTTTCATGTTTCTTTAGCTGGTCTTTGTTCCTTGCTAAGGAACATCAGCTATGAGTTTAGCAGATAACTCTGAGTCCAGCCGAGCAGAGCAAGTGTGGCCCAGTCACCTCAGAGATCGACATCCGAGGGCACTGGGGGAAAAACTAAACACTTTTAAATCACTACCACTAAAAATTCTGGCATTACTATAGAAAACCTGGTTAACTTAATGCATAGACATAAAATTAACTACAATATAACTACAGACTTACCCTTTTTTTCCTATTATCTCTCTGTTACAGTCGAGCTTTCTACCTACAGACTGATACACTTGCAGAGGTCTCCAAAAAGCCACCTTAAATATAACTCCTTCTTTTAGGATTTAGAAGGAGCTATTTTAAAAGTTGCTGCACCTCCTACTGGGAGTCACCGAGGAGCAAGGTTGATGAATCATTTAAGTGTCCCTTTTTCACTTCAGTATAAAGACAGCTGTGTTATCTCAACTGCTTTGCAGCAATACTATGAGCAATGGGATCTGACTTGGTGGGAAAAGAGACGGGGAGTGCTCATACAGCCCATAATACAGCTGAGAGAGGCAGAACAGATTCCCCTGCCAGTGGGCTCTCAATGGGCAGGGAGAAAGGGGAAGGGCAAAGTTCTTGCATCTCTCAAGGTCTTTCTAAGGAAACTGCTGACCCACACTCCCACCTCATCAATGTATACCTATATATTATATACAGATATATATACATTATTAGGTTCTATATATTATTAGGTTCTGTACCCACCTGAAACAACTTTAAAATGTGGCTAGAACCAGAAAGCATGTTCCACACCTCTGAGAATGTTTCTCCTCCATCTCAGATGACTGAGAAGAACCTTAATCAAATCCTATCGGAGTCAGGAAAAAAACCTCCTTATGACTTCAACAGGACTAGACGGAAGCCCTGAAGAGCAGTCCCACACGCAGCAGAAGGTGGAGGTTTAAAAGAAAAATCCATTCATGCCTTTTTAAAACCCTGCCACAAGACCTGGGACTGATTAGTCTCACCACATGGAACCACAGAAATAGATAATACGCTTTGCGCTTTTATAGCACCATTCTGTGGGACTTAAACTTCAATTAATTCTGACTCACAAAACCCCTCTGCAGCAGGTGGTGGAAGTCACCATTCCACAGGCAAAGATGCCAGGGCCTGGGAACTGGGAGGGAATTGCTCCCCATCACATTGCAGGTCTGC